GCTAATCCCATTAGCAAATTATATAATAACTAGAAACATTCGTGAAAATGTCACGGTTTTCCTATTTCAATTTTTTGATGAGGTTTAATTCCTCAGTTAATTGGAGGAGCATATCATGTGTTCTACGGCAGTAAAATATTTGTAGAAATTCCCTTATCGTATCGTCAAATATTTTAATATTCCAATAACAATCCTAAATATGTATAAATGACGTTATTTTAAGAAGAAAGGGGTACAAACGAAAAGGTTTTCTTCCATTTCACTGAAACAAGAGTTAAACATATTCTATCTCATCTGCTTTCTTTCATTTTCTCAGTGAAACCAAGTAATGTCTCTTATAGGCCTTTGTCCTTCTTTCTACGTATGAAGTAGTGACAGAAGACGTTAAATACGTCTATCTTCCTTTTCTTTCTTTTTCCCCGCTGAAACCAGGTAGTGTTTCTGGTATATCTTTTCCGATTTCGACGCGATCAAAACAGAATAGTCAATTATTTATAAGATATTATTAAAAAACGTTAAACTTTTCTATCTTTCCTTTCCTTCTTTATTTTTTCTTTCTTTTTTTCTTACGTTCATTGTTTCTTTTTCCCATTGAAGCCAGGTCTAACGGCCGCGCAATGGAAGGAAAAAGACTGAATTATCAGATGATGATTTCTCCTTCTGAACAGACACTGAATATTTTAACGAAATGTCTAAATGATAACAATATATACTAATATATGTTCGTATTAATTCTGAAATCCGAAGATGTCTCTTTTCATTGTCCAGCATTATCTACAATATAAGAAGATTGATCTTACATTGAAGTTTAGTAATCATTTCTTTTCGACATTTTTCTGTTTTTATACTTTATTTACTATCACAAATATTTCAAATAATATTTAAACATACAAATTTAAACGTTTTCTGTTACGTATTAAGTAAATATGAAGACAATATTTCCTATGAATTATAATCCCTTCCATTTCACAAAACATGTTAAGCCTATAAGATAGATTTTAGCCTCAGTTTCCCTTGTTAAATCTGCAATCCATCGTTAGTGCCGATTTTCGCCTCAGGGAACTTATGTAAATGCAACAGTATTTCATCGGTGGACATTTACTAAACCAAACTTGATATCATTTATTCTCGTTATTGTTGATTGAGTCGATATAATATTTAACAGATTAAGCACACTCTATAAGTGCCGTCAGGTGTGGTACTTGTGGTGTGCCCATGGAGAAGCTAACCTGTTATACTGAGATTGACACAGACATATTGAAACCATGAAAGAACAGTGATCACTTGAACGACAATAGCAGGCTCTTGAAACTGCTGTCTACGGCTTTCTTCTTGTGAAATGGCACAGTAAAATTAAGATCACTGGACAGGTCAACATGATTTTCACAGATTGCCATAACTGACACAAGTGAATCTGAGTTCAGTGAATAAATAGGCCCTGTGAGGACACTTAAAAGTGGCTTCGCGCGTTAGACGAGGATTGGCAATCTTCTGATGCGGACCGCGGCGTCATGGCTCTCAATTTCATCTTATCAAGCGACATTGCAACGGAAACATGTCAAATATGCAGGATAAATTTATTTCTCAACAGATCCGACCAGGCCATCATGGTAGAGCAATGGGTTAATTGTTGTAGAGTATAAACGTTTGTCAGAAATTCTGCGTAAGGAGAATTTGTATCAAGCACACATAAAGGACAAATGAAATAAATTCTAATATTAACATCTAGCTATTAGTTATTAGCATTTTAAAAAAGAAGTGTTTCAAATATATATATATATATATATATATATATATATATATATATATGTTTTGAAATTGATTATTTTAATATAATTTATAGTTATACGTTATTTATATAGACACAAATATTTAAGCCAACTTAAGTAAATGCTCTGTTTATAATAAACAGTATTAACAACATTTACCGGCGTGAATGTGCGAGAAACCAGACGTTTCCTTCGTAGATAACATGGCATAGCACCTCAGTCTATATGAGGGTTCTGTGTAGGATAAAGGTTCGATTCCTGTCGGAGGACGCATATTTTCTATGAAATTTCTCGGTTAGAGGTGAGTGGAAAGTAAAACGTTTTATAAAATTAAACCCGGATATCACATTAAATTGGGTTTATATGAAGAATGAAATGTTAATTTGAAACTAAGAAAGGAATAAAAAGGTTTTTTTAAAAAAAAAAATATATAGATGGAGTTAGGCTTAAAAATACAAAATCATACTTAAATGTACTATTCCAAAGATAAGTCATATTTAAAAATAAGTCATATTTAAATTATTAAAAATAGAATTAAGTAAAATTATACTTACAATTAGTTATATATAATATAAAATCCATAGGTTATATTAAAATAATATTTTTTTCCTTATTTAATGTCATAAGGTTTAATTTTATAAAACCTCTTACCGGGGTTTAATTTTATAAAAGATAAATACCTTCCACCCACCTTTAAGATAAATACCTTCCACCCTCCTCTGACAATTGCTTCGTGCCTTTAATCTGGCTGAAACATTGAAATGGGAAAATTCTGTATTTTTATTTCTATATTTATTTATTTATTTTTTGCAGCTTTCGCAGTTAAATATCTAATTCCGACATGGACTCAGTCGATAGCAAGGTTGAATAAGACTGACAAATTTTATTTTTTCGACGGTTGAAATAAGCTTAGTCCCCATATAAGGTGATTTTGAATTTTATTGTGTATTAATTATTTGCTCTGTAATAATAAATACACTGATCTCTTTTTGTGGATCAGCTTAAATATTTTATATTAGGATCCATTTCGATTGTATCGCAACGAATTTATTACCTTTATTTATATATATATATATATATATATATATATATATATATATATATAGTGGGTGAGTGTGAGTGTGTGGATACATATATATTTGACGTTATATATATATATATATATATATATATATATATATATATGTATGTATGTATTGACAGCGTTCCATATATATATATATATATATATATATATATATAGATATATATATATAGATATATATATATACATATATATATATATATATATATATATATATATATGTATTGACACTGTTCCATATATATATATATATATATATATATATATATATATATATATATATATGGTGCGATGCATAAATTGGCGTCTAAGTTACGCAAAAATAAAGATAATACTGAAATCTCATTTTAACAAATATTTACCAAAATTGCACAAAAATATCTTGAAATACTAAACAGTAAATTTATTCAATAAAATCGCCATAGACCTCAACAAGAGCATCTAGACAACTTCAGAATCTCTTGCAACTCTTCTGAATGGTCTCCTTGTTTAAGTTAGTGAATACTGCCATAATCCTTGCCTTAAGTTCACCCTTGGTGTTACAAGGAGTTTTCTTGGTCTCTCGCTCGACTGCGCTCCACACCTAATAATCAGTCTGGGGATTATTTATGCCTAGAAGTAAGGGATTATATGGTCGCAGGGGACTTGGTTCTTCTCCTTGTGTGGCATGGTGCAAACTTCTGTTGCCAGGCATATGGTCTTCCAACAGCCATCCTCTTGACCCAGGGTAGCACTATCTCTTCATGTCACTTGATGTAGGTCTCCATGTTGAATCTGAGACCCTTACCAACTAACTCGGGAGTTCTTTACTTATCAGAACGATCAGATTGAGTTTTCCGAGTTGCTGTACTTTTGTAATCACCATTAGACTCATCAAAATCATTCCGAATCCTATGTACTGTTTTCAGATTGACCCCCAAATACTCTGAAATGTTCGTATTGGAGCTTCCGGAGAGAGTGCCAAGCAGTACAAGATTCCGTTTCCATTTTTTTGGCAGAGTGAATTACGTCATTGTGATTTCTTTCTCACAGGAGGTGCCCAATTGATCCTAATATACTGTGCATTCGACAAAATCAAAAGCAAACAATGCGCATGGGCAAAATAAAATTGCATTATATGTATGTGCATGAGTCTGCGCGTGAGTGTGTGTGTATGTGTGCGCGCGAGCTCGCGCGCGCTCGCGCATGAGTGTATGCGTTGTGAGTGTTTGTGAATGTGCACAGTATATTTAAGCAACAACCTAGCACCTAAACGTTTTATCAAATAAAAATAATATAGAATGTCTGTTTAGTTTTTGATGATGACCAACATGTTCTTTGGTGTCTGAGGCAGAACCTGTAAAAAAAAATGGCGGACATTGTAACTACTTCCGGTCATCTTTCGTCTTCTTCTTCAAGGAGAGAACGGAGAAGTAGAAGTTTATGCTTTAACAGACCGTCGTTTGAAATGAACTTAATGGTCCATAAGCTTAGACGGAGGAATAGAATTTATAGACACGTAACTTCAATTACCATATTGACATTCATTGAAAGATTAAAACAATTTTCACGATAGTGGACTGCCGCCAATGGATGGGCTGAACATTGTCGTATTGACCATAATGTTGTTTGATATCGATCATAATTTATTGCTTTGGCTACTCTTTACTGATTGTTGCTGGCATTGTTTTCGCGGTAAAGGATTTATTTTTAATCTCCTTTAGAGTGAAGGTAAGGTGATGAAGCGGCCAAGTTCAAACAAGAGAACGAAAATGCCAACTAAACTTCGCTGTTGTATCAAAAAGTAGGCGACCATAGTCAAGATCATCGAATCAATGCGATCGTTCCTTTCTATAGCTGTATAGTATTTGCTTCGCTAGGTTTACATACATTTTTGAATTCAGTTTTCCTTCTATTCCAAAACTATATAAGCCACTCTACCCTAAGATTTGCGCATATCTGGGACGGGGGACAAGAGTTATGCTCATACTTTTCCCAATGGTATTAGCATGTAAATGAATTTAATGAACTCGACTGGAATTCGAACTCGGCTCTCCGATTTCCCAGACCAAGCGACAATCCATTCGATTATAACAAAACATGGAAATAAACGACAACTTCTTCTTCTTCTTCTTCTTCCTCTTCTTCTTCTTCTTCTCCTCCACCAGCTATTCTTCTTCATCTCCTCCTTCTCCTCCTCCAACTATTCTTCTTCTTCTTCTTCTTCTTCTTCTTCTTCTTCTTCTGCTGCTGCTGCTGCTGCTGCTGTTGCTGCTGCTGCTGCTGCTGCTGTTGCTGCTCCTCCTCTTCTTTTTCTTTTTCTTCTTCTTCTTCTCCTCCCCCTCCTCCTTCTTCTACTCCAGCTATTCTTCTTCTTCTTCTTTATGTCTTGCGTCTTAAGGGCAGAGAGAGAGAGAGAGAGAAAGAGAGAAGAAGGAAATTGAACACACAGTATATGTAAAGAATTTGTTTACAATTTTTGTTACCTGTTGCACAAATAAAATGTACATCGACGAATGTAAATATTGACCGACAAATTACGATCTACCGCTTTCGACCAGAAATCTGAGCATTATCAAGATAACACCAGAGAAAAGCTTTGAATATAATTCGTTTTGAGGATAAGGATGATGTCCATGAAACGCTAAATAAATGGATTTTCATACATGTATAAACACACACACACACACACACACGCGCGCGCTCACGCGCTCACACACACACACACATATATATATATATATATATATATATATATATATATATATATATATATATATATATATATATATAAATAAATGTGTGTGTCTAAATGAAATTATTTTGAATATCTCGAGAAACTGGTGCGCGACATTCATATAACTTTCTAATCGACAATCGCAGACGGACCCCATGCAAGAGGTGCCATCCGATTTAGGGGTGGGACATGAGGGTGGATGTTACAATAACTGATCATTTCTGAATGGGAGAATATTTCCCGGTTACCTCATGGAAAACATTAAACCCATCCTAGATAATAAAATAACTAACCAGAGCTTCAGGATGTAGATCAGAAGCATATGACTAAAATAAGCTCTCGTAAGAGATAAGAGACATTGGCTAAAATCGCATCTACATTCAATGCAAAAGTTACCAGGCAATTGTTTCTTAGCTTCCAAAGGATATAGAAAGAGAAGTTCCACCAAGTTGCTCTTGTTAACCCTGCAACACCATACATAAGGATATTGTAAGACTAAGCACAGATTCCATGACTTTTAATTCGAATGGTCGCATTAGGTCATTGGTCCAAAAAGTCATGGACGTTAGCCCTGTGATTGAGATCACAACATGTGCGATTTGTCAAGGATGTCACCTTTATAATATCAATGGAAGAAAACGGTCCGAGTATGTTACATCGTTTGGAAGTAACTTAAAATCATACCACAAGAGGGTTCAGCCTTGTGAATGAAACTGTTTAGACGGAAACAGGCGATAGTTGTGCTAGTACAAAGTCACAAGTCATCGTGACCGAGGGTGTGAGCGTACTAGCCTTAACCTGATTATGCGTTCTTTCTCAGAAACCGTAATTACGGCATAGTTGCATTTTGGGTGCTGAAGAAACACAAATACAACTGAGCAGGCGCCTGTAACAGGGATTATCATCCTAGAAGACAGGCATATATAGAAACTAGCAATTAGCCATTTCCTTTTTACTCTTTACCGTTCGTCTGGATGTTATATAAAAACTTTTTAATGTTACTTAATAGAAAAGATTATGTATTCCGATATGAAATGTTTGTATTTTGTTACTTTGTCAAATAATGATAATATCGATAAGCGTTGTGACGTTTACGGCTCGTGGCTTTTGTTATAGAAGAACAACTCGAACTGATTTTTAGATATGCTAATGCGTCGTCGTCAGATAAAGTGTTTTGCTTCTACGACTTTTACCAAGCAGAAATTGATTGAATAACTTTTATCAATTCGTTTACATTGTAATCAACTATCAGGATAGAAGCTATTAAATAAATTTCTATTTTGATGTCTTTTCCCGCTTTTTTGCAGACAAACGATTGTTTAAACCTACAGGATATGTTTTTACTTTAGTTTTAGAGTCAGATAGGTACCTCCACGAAATTCAGCATACCGTGAGGGAAATATTAATCAAATGTAATGAAAACATAGCTTTTTTCTCAAAATTTTGATGCCATTATTAAGAGGAAGGATCAAAGTAGTTTTTGTTTATTTAATTAAATTTTTACTCCTTTTTAGAATATTCGAAATTTTGATTAAAAAAATTTTTCTTGTGTCAGCAGTTGTACTAACTTTCGCATAGCAAATTTTGGCATCGTTTTTGCGTGACAGGCTAATTTGGAAATTCTTGCAAAAGTCAAATAATTGTCAGATTTTAATGAAATTTCGAGGACTTATTCACTAATGAATGAAATGATTTTTTTTTTATTAGAAAATCTTGGTAATTGTTTTTCTGCTCCTTATTTAATTTTATAAAAACTTGAGAAATTCAACCTGATAATTTTCAGTGACTCTATTAGTTAACAGCAAAATTCATAGAAGAAAAATTTTTTTTTTGCAAAATCGGACCCCATCTTACCGAATATCTGTTCTGAAAAAAAAACGCATCATTTAATTAGATATACTTTTAATTGCTTTTCTGAATGATATATATTAAAGATAATAATTTTCGACAAAAAATGAATTTTATAAGATTTGTTTTCATTTTTTTACAGTTTTAAATTGAATAAATTATAAAGTCTTTAAATCTTTTAAAATTCATTTTCATTGCGATTTTGTTTTTTTTGGGGGAAATATTATTATTAATTAAAACTTTATTTACTAATCATATATTGTAAAACTTATTCCGATCTGACGATCCTGAATAGTTTTAAAAGATTTTCAATTATGTCATTAGGCGCATAATTTTTTGAAATATGGATGTACAAATCGATAAATGCTATAAACAAGTAATATTGATTCAAATCAGATTAATTTTAATTTAATTCTCCACAGATAACGCTTCATATATATATATATATATATATATATATATATATATATATATATATATATATATATATGCTGTTCTGCGCTTCTAGCAGCTTGGTTGGTATAATTTTAATTTTTTTTTCCTTCCTTCCCTGTCCATTCATTCATGTCACCCATGACAGACTTTTTTCTTTTCCTCATAATCTAAATTCCCCGTTAACAGTTCTGACGACAGGGGACGAAACCGGTCGACTGGTGTGTGTTTTATTTTAAACTTATCATGGCCTACAATACAACATTTCTAGTTTTTAATGCCTTTATATATATATATATATATATATATATATATATATATATATATATATATTTTTTGCAAGATTTTTAAAACAGAGAATTAACTTTTGTTTACAAATCTGTCAAAAATGGCCGTTTTGATCGATTTTACTGAAAATAATTGATTCCGATAGAATTTCTGTATAAAATACACCACAGAGTATTTTGCTTACAGGAAATAATAAATTTTAAATACTTTAGCTAAAATGAAAGCTTTAAGAAAGTTTTTTTTTTAATTTTTAAATTCATTTTCATTTGTAGGTATACCGAATTAGTGGATGTACCTATATAAAACAAGATAGAAAGTTCAATTTGGTTAAATAACCATATCCATCAATGGAAAAATGACGCTTGTTCTAAATTTAAACTATTTATAAATACGCCCAGCCTAGTAGGCTCAATGGAAGACGGACCCGCTTGTAAAATTCAATATGGCTAAAACACGGCACAATTAACCAACATCGAGCAGCCGCGAACTTTTACCTATAATGATTGATGTGTCTTCTTTGAATGGAGCTATATGTCTTGCACGTCTACCGGGAGTCAAGTTCTCCCCAGACCTCAAGGGTGTCTCATATATCCGATATATTTGCTAAAGATGCTGGAAAAATCTATCTTTACCAGAGCCAGATCAAACAAAAACACCATATCTGTACTGGAGCTTGCCTCTTCTTACTTGCCTGTCTTGAGGGAGTTCAAAAATTCTTGAACGTTGTAATGAGTGGATATTCTCCTTTTATCCGCCATGTCCCCTCAGGACGTAGCGGTCAAGGCTCTTCACAAGTTCCTGTCCTTTACAGTTCTTAATAAATTTTGTCTTTCTATTGTTTCTCTTAAAACTTGTTGCCCCATCCATTTACTAGCGTAGTATGTTAGGCGTTGTTTTCCTCTATCTCTCTTGCTTTCAATCTGTCCTGTGGGTATCAGATTTTCCAAGCCCTCTCTCCTTATTATGTGCCTTAAAAATTTCAACTGTATCGTCCTGGTAAGTATAAGTTTCCTTTCTGTCTCCATTTTCTTTAAAAATTCGTCGTTACTCACATGCTCTGTCCACAGTATCCTCAGCATCCTTCTGTAGAATCACATTTCTCTTGCTTCAAGTTTTTGCTTCATGTGTGAGGGAATTGTTCAGCATTCACTGCCATACAGGAGGACGGATATCACAGTTTAGCGGTCTTTTTTTTGTAGGACGAGCAAAGGTTTTAGAATAAAGAAAACAATTTAGGTCTTTTTTAAAACACTGAAATGCATACATGAAATGTATTCCATGAATTACATTTCAGTGTATAACATTGATGACTTTAACGGAAGAATTTTACGAAGAAAAAAAAAGATGGACGGTCTCAAGCAAAAAAAGAAGACGTCGTGCATAGCATTTATTCCCCTCTCTCTCTCTCTCTCTCTCTTCCATTTTTCTTACCGTTTTTTTTTTCTTTCTGGTTCTTTTTTTTTTTTCTGGTCTTTTTTTCTATCTTCTTCTTTCACGTCTTCTTTTTATTCTTTCTTTATCAAACCATTGTTTTCTGATTAGAAAGAGATAAATAAGAGAGAGAGAGGAAAAGGAAAAGGAAAGAGAAGGAAATAAAGGGAGAGGGGGGCTTTATTTCCCTCACTTTCCTTTTCCTTTTTCCCTCTCTTATTTATCCCTTTCTAATCTTTTTTTTCTTATCTTTCTCTCTATTTTGGCTTACGGCCACATCATGTTCAAACATCGGTTCCCGTACGATCACCGAAGTTAATCAACGTCGAGACTTGTCAGTAACTAGATGAGTAACTGCTTATGAATAGCAGTTGCTGTAATCTTGGATGTGCGGCTGGCTTAATGGATAATGTCTAGAAATTTGTTAATTGGAGAGACGAGTTCCAATTCCAAATTGGTTTCTTATATTCACTTAAGCGCAAATACCCTTGGGAAAGGCATCAATCTAACTCTACTGCCCCGGCTATGGGCTAATTAGTAATACTTTTATCATTAAATCATTATTATCTCCCCACCCATTTCTTACAATCTAAAAATAATTTCTGGCTTTAAATAACCTACAATGGGTTGATAAACCGTAGAAAACGAATCACTCAATCTTTCTGTTTCCTTCTTTCTCCGCATATCTTCATCTTTTCCACTCTCTTCTTTCTCTTTTTTTATTTTCTCTGTTTCTCCCCCGTTCCCTGAATTAAGATGGGAAGAAAGGAAGAAGTGGGGTATCTAGACTTCTTTGGCCCTTCTTTGTATATATTTCTAACCTTTCTTTTTATCTCTCTCTCTTTTCTATTTGTTTCTATTTCCTTTCTGAATACCATTCACATGAGAAGCATTAGCCGCATCCTGGGAATAGCGTGGCAAACTGAGGTCCTGTCTCGAGCAGGTCTGCCCAGAATGTTCACACTGCTCAGACAGTGCAGACTCCGTTGGTTGGGCCACGTCCACGGCATGACAGACGGCCGCATCTCTAAAGACCTCCTGCATGGAGAGCTGGCCTCTGGAAGGAGACCCGACGTGATGTGGTGAGGCGCAACATGAAAACTGCGGATATCAGCACAGAACCCTGGGAGAGCTTGGCAGCCATACGATCCAAGTGGAAAGGAACCCTGACCAAACAACTCGTCAGGGGCGGAGAAACTGACATGTCGCCACTGAAAGGCGAGCCCGCAGAAAGCAAAGTGACAGCTCCAACAGACCAGAGGCAGAACACACATCCGACCTCTGTAAGAGATTGTCTCTCCCGCATCGGCCTCTATAGTTACAGACTATCTTAGGACGCTTACCCATAGTTAACCCTGACCGAGAGAGGCTTACGTTTCCTTCCTTTTCTCACTCCATCTTCTTTTCTACCTCTTTTTCTTTCTTTAGTTTTCTTTCTCCAGTTACTCTATCGTTTCTTTCTATTTTCTTTATCTCTCCGTCTTCTCCTTCCCTTCTATCTACTCGCTTTACTTTTCTTTCTCTCCTTCTATTATTGTTCTCTCTCTCTCTCTCTCTCTCTCTCTCTCTCTCTCCTTCTATTTCTTCCTTTCTCTTACTCTTTCCTTTCTTCTTTTCTCTATTCTTTCTTTTCCTTTTTATCAATTTTCCATGTTTTCCAGACGTATCACTTATAACCGCTGAAAAATAATAAAATTCAGAGCGATTTTTCTCAAAGTGAAAACAATGAAGACATTCCCATTCCGTTTGTGTCCTTTCATGACATTGGTGATCATGCCTCTCCACAATGTCCTATCACTTGGAGCAGTTAGCAACGTTTGTCTATTTATCAAATGTCTCACCTCCGGTTTCGCTATCCATGCATACAATCTGGCTGCCTTCCTCTGTCCATTTCTCCTTTGATGTGACTTGTGAGTGTCAAATTCTACAAGCCCTCCTTTCTCATTTTGTGTGCAATATAAATCTATTATCTACTTCTGATTCTGATCATAAGTGTGCTTTCTGTTGCTATTTTCCTTAAGACTTGTCTATCATAGCTTCCCTGTGCTTTTTCTATAAACACTTCTATGGTAAATGATCCAATGAACTTTCCTCTATGGTACCTAGAATTTATGAATTTAAATGCAGTACTAGATTGGCACCAAGGTCTCATTTTACAGTTGAAATGGCTAAATGTAACCATAAGTTTCATCCACTGCACTTCTCACTTGTGGAATTCTTTTCCAGATTCTTGCTTTCCAGCCAACTTTGATATTCAAAAATTTAAATGTAATGTCACTTCCGTCCATTGTATTCCTGTTGATGCGAATTTTCCTCACCTGTGAGATCGCCCAGCATCCACTGCCATACAAGAGGATCCATAGGGCCTAAATATTCAGCACTACTTTCAATATTTCTAATGAAATTTTCCTGTTTGTAAGTCCGTTGCTTATTTTGCTATTCAGATGCATGTTCGGATTTCGGTGCCATATTTACCATCCCATGTTAAAAAACCTTCCCAGATTAAATTTCTGTACTTGTCTGATATTAATATCTCTAACTCGTTGTTCGCTTATTCGGCTTTTTCTCTTGCTGACTTTATTCTCATACATTTTTCTTACAGCTAGTCCTTTCTTCTCGCTTTCCTTTCTTACATTATCGAGAAAATCCAGTATTTTTCCTTCTGATTCTGCAGTCAACACTGTCATCTACGTATATTGTTAAGATTGTACCCATCAGTGATAAATCCTTGCAGGGTTACCACCTCCCTTGGGATAGCCTCCCTGCAGAGCAGTCTTGGGCAAATTTGGCAAAATTGACTTTCCGAATGGCACGCCTAACTTTTTAAGGAAAATAACCATTATTAAAATAGTGTTTTTTTTTTCCTTTCGTTCTCACTTGTTCACTTGCACACTCTCTCATGCCTAGCCACATACATAAACAATGACAAAGTCCAAACTTTCTTGAATTTTATAATTTTTCATTGAAGGTTAATTTATCAGCATTTAAAACCATCGGCGATTTTAATATTTTTATGAAGTACCCTACCTCATGTGGGCGGCCTTATTATGTGCTGTACTTCATACGACTCGTCTTATGATGTACCGTACCTCATGTGGGCGGCCTTATTATGTGCTGTACTTCATACGACTCGTCTTATGATGTACCGTATCTCATGCGACCCGTCATTCTATATACGATAAACGCTGTCCATTCGTGCTGTAGTTCAGGATTAACGAAGATCTCGTTTACCTACCGAAGAAATATCATTTATAAACACTACAGATTATCAAAATTATGAGGCGTCTGCTTTTATTAATAAAATGTTGACACATGACAAAGCCTCAGGGTAGAAAAAAGTAGTCATTACCACATTAACTTGTAATGCAATCTTCAAATTAGAAACTGCTTCTTCGTTTCTTCATATTTGACATTTTGGAAAATTAGTAACAATAAGCATACAAGTTGATTTATAGTTAAATTGGAATTTTCAGACTTTTTGAAAAATTCACAGTGCAGCGAAGAGCGATAATGATCTATTACGAGAGTGTGAAAATCCAAGAAAGGACTGCCTAAATCCTCCGCCAAACTAACCTATTCCTTCTGGACGGAGTTGTTTAGTGCACTCCATGATTTTTTCTTTGATATCCTTAAACTGTCCATCTAGACAACTTGGAAAAGATTATGGATTAGGTTTCCTTGTTCCTAAATTTGAATTCAGAGTGGTTTTTCTTGACTGGATTTCAACCATAGTTAGGGAAGCCAGACTGCACTTCTGCTCTACGGGAACAAATATGTACGATTTCCCCAAGTTGTCTGCCAGAAGATTCCCTTTAACGTCTGCTTGATATCATCGTAATAACTGGTATGAAAGAAAAATTCTCTTTCTCTCTCTCTCTCTCTCTCTCTCTCTCTCACACACACACACACACACACACACACATGCACACACGCATTATAGCTAATCCCATAAATGTTTTATTTTCTTATTCTGAGACACTTTTCTTCAAATGAAAGCTTTCTATGTATAAATATTTAAAAAATGTTCCATATTTTGATTAAATTTATTTTGAAAAATCCTCATCCTCCTCTGCTACAAACAAATGTCTGATTTACCCCAGAAGATTAATGTGACCTGGTCAAACACTTCTCAGTCGGAGTTTAAACTAGATTCTTTGAAGTTCGCAAACACTCTGTCCTGTCTTCCGACAGAGACAACTTACATTTGTGTTAAAACTGAACGGGGTAGTCGTGCGTGCAAATAGCCATAGAATCACATAGAAAGTTTTGTACAAATTGAAAATATACACTAAAGTAGATAGATAGATTGTTTTGTTTTTCGAAATATAGCTATAATTAACATCATGACACATAAAATGTTTTCACGTCATAGATTTCACTTCAGTTACGAGAATGGCCTGAAAGATCAAACGCTGATTATGCGGAAGTGGTGCTAGAACCGTGAAAATTTTATGACACTACACAATGAACAAACTTTCCTAGCAGTGAACGTATAAATAACTTCGATAAAGTCGCTCAACATGACGTCAGTAGAAAATGTGAGCCCAAGAAGTTGAAGAGTGTTTATCTGGTGGAGTTTAGCATCAGCCATGTTGATAGCAGATAGAAAAGTTTCACTGTGGTGATTAAATGAAAGCCATTTTTTTTTAGCACTAAGCATAAACTACAAAAAAGTGAGAATGCATAGTCATCAGCTAAAGGATGAGCCCAAAATGCAAATTACAGGCCGAGAATATTAAAATCAAACAGAAATTTAAATATCTAGAAAGTGTTCTAACAAAATGCGACACTGAGATCCGAAGACCAATGTTGCATTCCGAAAGTTAAGCAGAATATTAAAAGACAGGAAATTTTTGTTGGAAACAAAGAAAAGAGTACTGAACTGTTACGTAATATCAGTGCTTCTATATGACAGTAAACGTTGGACAATCTCTTCTCAGATGAAGAAGAGACTTGAAGCAACAGAAACAAAGAAAAGATTACTGAACTGTTACATAATATCAGTCCTCCTATATAGCAGAGAATCCTGGACAATCTCGTCGCAGATGAAGAAGAGACTTGAAGCAACAAAAACAAAGAAAAGATTACTGAACTGTTACGTGATATCTGATCTTCTATATGACAGCAAATATTAGACAATCACGTCGCAGATGAAGAGTAGACTTAAAGCAACAGAAACAAAGAAAAGTGTACTGAACTGTTATGTCATATCAGTCCTTCTATATGACAGTGAATGCTGGACAATCTCCTCACAGATGAAGAAGAGACTTGAAGCAACAAAAATAAAGAAAAGATTAAATTGAATTGTTACGTGATATCTGACCTTCTTTATATGACAGCTAATACTGGACAATCTCCTCAAAGATGAAGAAGAGACTTTAAGCAACAGAAATGTGTGTCTACAGAAGGATACTGAGGATAGCATATGCCGTACATGTGAATGACGAGGAGGTTTTAGAGAGAATGGAAACAAAAAGGAATCTTATACTTAAAATCATGAAGAGGGAGTTAAAATTTCTGAGGTATGTAATGAAGAAGGAAGGTTTGGAAAATCTGATGCACACAGGAATGATAGAGAGAAAGAAGGACAGAGTAAAGCAATGCGTGACATTCTTGATGGGTTTGAGTAAATTCATGACAAAAAGACACAACTTATTAAGAGCTACAAAGGACACCTCCTGTCCTTTGTAGGTGAAGAAAAAGAAGAATAACCAAAGTTGTAATTTCAGGAAGAATTTTGTTCTTCGAACTAACCGAAAGATGTTTTTTTTTCTCTAAAACTTATATTCCTAAACTCCATGTTTGTTTGCTTTTTACAATCTCCTAAGAGAACGAGATAAGACGCACACTTTATTAAAGTAAATCTCTCTTTCTCTTCGAATCGATGATCTAAACCTGCAAGACATCTTCTTATTTCAATACTTCTGAGAATCATTAGAATTACATGCATACATACGGATTAACGTCCGGATTGGATTGCTTATCAAAAACTGCAAGACAACGGGCCAAATGTCACTGAGGACGGCTTTAGGTGATTCTCGGGATCAAGAAGGCAGTATCAATGGACCAAGGCGGAAATCCAATTAATAAATTATGCAAGTCCATGCAACTAGGATAAACGGTTTTCTGGCAAAAATTCTCCCTGCCTTGCAAATATAACACATTTGTTTATAAAGGTTATAACTAGCTTGAAAATTAAATGAATGACGTTGGATAAGAATAATAAAAGAAAACGCGGTTAGATAGATGGCTAAGAGATTTGATAGAAATACAATTTCTTTAGTTCAATCAAGGGGGCGCTGAAATGATATGTGTTCTTCCAAAAAAATATCTTGTTTGGTCATTGGGTTAGAATTCGATTACCATTCAACACAACATCTTATATATATATATATATATATATATATATATATATATATATATATATATATATATATATATAATAATAATATAAATATAAGTAATTATGCTCGTCCGGAAAAACCTTAGACGTTTTGGCTTGAAAAATAAGGAATAAAAAAGAAAGAACTAAGAACGTGTAATTCAGGCGAAAACAATCGTCCAGAATCCAAGCTCAGAGTACAAACGAAAACAAAATCTCCAAAATGAGTAAAGCAAAAATAACTAAATAAAGTGCTCAATACATTAAGTAGAGCAAATCTAACTATGAATCTAAAGATCCA